AATCAATAAAGTCATTAGAGTAAGAAAAACATACATTATTTGAAGTTGACCATTGAGAATGAATGAAAGTTGCAACACCTCCACCTCTTTTCTTTCTGGAGCATAGTCGATCTTGTCTAAACAATGTAAAGCCATTTAGGGAAACCAGATTGTCATCATAGAGTTCATGGAGCCATGTTTCTTGTAATGCAACAATCGCCGTATTGTAATAAGTATCAGATGATAAGAGAGACTGGAGATGCATAATTTTGTTGGGAAGTTAACGGCAGTTTGAAGTGACAATAACAGGAATAGTTGTGCGATATAAAGGTGTCTGCTTAAGTTCACGCTGCCAGCCAGCGTGATGTTTTCTCTTAGATTTATTAGATGTATGACAGTCATATGGCTTGAAAGGTTTAATCAATGAATTACTGTATTTTACGCGATTTGTGATCATATTTTATTAAAATTAGGAATGAAAACATGACGTATTAGATGCAATATGTAGATCCAGGAAAAGGTAACCCAGGTGTCAAACAGGCCGCCTCGAATCAACTGAGGCGAATACTTGTAATAGGAATGATTCAACAACTGTCCACCCAGATATCTGGAAAACTCTACTACCCCTACGATGACAAATAGGAGAGAACAAAGAAAAATGTCAAATTCAAGTTTTCAAGTCGTATGATTATAATTGATATGATTATTAACCACAATAAATTTTGTTCGAAACTGTGTCATTCAGTAAATAATACTGTGACACTCCTTGTGTGATACATCTAATAAACAAAATACTATGGAGTATTCACCCCACCTTTACACGGTTGACCCCACCGTTCACTAATTCTTGCCATACCAATCAAGATGAATATTAAAATTATGGGATTTCGTAGGAATCTGAACTAATTTCAATGCTTGTCTCTGGTTTCACACGTTAAAATATATTACTGGTGTTCGTCGGTGGCATAGCGGTTAGGATACTCGCCGACCACGTGCATAGTCTGGGGTTCGATCCCCGGCCGATGCACTCCTTTACCTCTCTAAGCCAGGAATAATGCTGGTGAAGGAAGAAAGGTTGGGCATAAGGCTAGCAACCCCATCCTGTAAAATAAACACTACTACAGATACTTCAACCCACTAGCTTGAATCCCTATGTTCCACTAAGGAACGTGAAGGAAAAAAATCAATGCAATACACCGAGATTTGAACCTCCACTGTTTTTGAATGTCTTAAGGCTAAATAAATGCGACGATGTGAAGTTTTCTATAACCCTCTTATGAAATGATATTGCCTCCTACCTGGCAAACTGCAACTTCCACTTGTTTTTTTTGTAAAGAATGTTGTTTTGTGACCACATAGTCTACGTGTTATGGTCGAAACACAGGCTGAATTTTCTTCAGATATATGCAGTGAAAAAGCACTCCAACGGTAGCGAAAAGGCAGTTGTTTGAGATGAAATCCCCGATATCACTAAACCATAACGATATCAAAATCTCAAAATCACCTCAACAATGCTATCAGATAGCTATGCATTTCAGATGATTTTCTGGTATAGAAAAACTGCTGCGGAATAAAATTAGTTAACCCAAATCAACTGTAAGCAATAGCTGGGAATGAAAATGGATACTCCCAACAAGGTGGCATGAGAACTCTGTCTGCAGCGTTCATGCACTAATACTTTAGCCAATCATTCACATGGTCCGAAGTTCGATCCTCTGCCGATGAACACCTGATATCTATGGTCGGCCTGCGAAATTTGGGCTACCAATATCACATGCTGAAAATTCCATACCTGTACCAAAAAATACAGTGTGGAATCAAGCTGTAATCGAAAAATAAAATAAATAGAATATGAATCGGTGGATTGTGTTTCAGTTGTGGCACTTTACCTCAAGAAAACACTCCGTAGTTAAGTTGCTGAGTATGTTAATCATAGGTATCTCGTTCGAATTCACCCGCCTCTGAGATATCTAATTCTATCTTACTTATTACCTTCTTTAATTCATAATCGCTTGAAAGTAAACGATTATCTCTGAAGACTTAGTTAGGGCGCTTTTAAAGATGCTCTACTCGGTCAGCATAATTTCGAAGGATGATGAACTCCATTCAACTCTGTCTCTCTAATCTATACTTTTCAGTCAACATAGAGAACGTCTACATTCGAAATGTAGTTCAACCTGTTAAAAGTGGCTTAGAAATAACCGAAAGGTAGTCTGGTGAAACTGGCAGAGAAATTTTTCCTGATATACATTGAGACTACTTGGATCCCGATGGTGTAGTAAGCATTTCGCTTCAAAATTACGCTGATATTTCATATTATCCTCCTACACTTAACTTCTTAACTAATACACGTTTTATCCCTTGACTTTGTATTACTGATTTGATATTTGCATACCACATGCCGATTTAGACCTTTACTATCCACCATTGTTCTTGATCTGTCTTTAATTTTTTTTACTTTTCCGTGTGATTGCGTGTAAATTGACGATGTGCATTTCAACGATATAAGTTTGTTTAGGTGAACCAACGTCATTCTGACTCAGGACTATCTGCATAAAGTGTTGGTGTTTGTCGACAGATCTATTCTGTTGGAAATATTTCTCTAGGACCAAAGTTACCTTCTACAGTTGAACTTTGGTTAACTAGTCTCTTCTTCCGCTAATTATTTGTATTTAGAAGTCTAAATTGCCTGTACTGTACAACTGTCTCATGACACTGTTAACGTAAATCGAAGTGACATGTTAATATTATTGTGGTTCAATAGAACCGCTAGAATATCAAAGGATTATCATGTTTTCCCTGAGTTTGGAAAGTTTTGTGGTAGTGCGTGTTTCGATGAAGCCTTTTCGGCTATAGAGTGGACCATGAAGATTGGTTGCTTGTGTTCTGATCATAACTGAGTAATATGTAGGCGATATGCAGTCAATCATATGTGCATAGCTGGCATATGACAAGTGGATATCTCATTAGAAGATATTTGTATAATCCAGGAGAATGCGTTTGGAATAAGACGGCAGTGAGTGATACATTTTGCATTTTATTTATTAGTCATGACTTATCATGCATCCATCATTTGATGCTACACCGTCACGCCTGTTGAAGCTTTATAATTCCGCTTATATATTTATGCTATCCAATTTCAGTCTTCAGTCTTTCATTGTATCAACCAAAAGCTTTCTGTAGAAGCTTCATTCCATCAAACTACGCATACCATTTCCTGTTACTATCAACTTGTTTCTTTCTATATCCCAGTGTCTCTTTAAATCTGCAGACCATTACGGAACTACACTTAGACGTTGTTTATTCTGTTTCACTTTGCAATTTACCCCGTCATGAAGATTTGCCTACATACACCACAGCATCAGAATCACTAGAATCGATCTGCTTGCTACACATCATGCCTTTACATTGATTGACTTGTATGAAATGATAGTTAATATATGAAGTGAATGACAGAAACAAATTTCACAGTCGTTTTGATATTATGGAATATTTGTACAGTCAACTCATATTTAGCTTCCACGATTCAACACATCGCATGAAACAGTTTCAGCGAGCAGAGTATATTGTATTGACAAAGTGAACCGGAATACATCTCAGCCAACTGTTCACACTAGGGAGAAGCGTTTGAGGCGATTATTATTGATTGTTCTTATCTATCAAAGTGGGATAAAATGTGTGTACACACATACACGAAGCCAGATGGAAGGATGAATATCGGGGGGAGGGTATATCCATGGTTTGTCTCCTCAGCTCTGTTACATGGAATTTTAAACTTTGTACTGTGAAACAATTAAATGAGGCATCACATCTATTGAATTTATGTGAAAGAACAATTTGGGATGGTTGTAAACTGACAATGCAATTCTCGGTTATTTCAATGGATACGCTTAGCTATAATCAGCCAATGAGCTACAATGTAGTATGTGTTTTGAAATCCAGTGTAATTGAATGGTGACAGATGTGATGACAGACAGCTTTAACGTGTGAACTTGGTTGCAATAATTGCACTAACAGTAATAAACAATGGAAAGATGTGACAATAATAATACGGTGTGCAATACAATAAAAATTGTTGATGCCAACGTAGTTCGGAAAGCTTCTCTTATCCCTCTTAGGCTCGCACTTTCCTAACCGCAGTATAAGCTAACGTGCATTGAAGAAATTCTCGCATGAATAGTAAGTAATACAACGTAACCCGAGAAATTGAGTATACTTCATTTTCTGTTTCCGTGGCATAAAACTATCTTCGTTATACTTCGTCGCGTCTTTTCAACGCGATGATGGATGAGTCTGAGAACAAAGGATGCCAATCATCACTATTGTTTCAGCATACCATTATTGTAGTCGAACTCACTTCAAACTATTTTCTTGATACTAGAAGATGGGAACCGTTCTTGCATCATTAGTGACATGTTCAGAGAGAACTTCAGGGAGAACGATTCTATTGACAAACTTTAACGTCTTTCTATTGTTCGGATTTCATCGAATTTCGTCGTTTAGCACATAGTTTCAAAGAATGCGATAATATCTTTTAAACTTGTAGTTTTCTCTTGATGTTGACCAAATCAAATGAGTACTATTCGTACAGATTTGAACACAAGACTGCCTTCTTATTGAAATAAGTTACCGAAAATCAAGTCAATGATTTAAAGGCTCGTTATCTGCGTGTGCAAAGAGATTTCCGAAAAAGGAGAAACACCCTCAACAAATACTGATAGAAATAACTTGTTAACTGCAGATGAATATCTGCTGTTCGCCATCGAAAATCTTCTGTCTACTCGACAGTTTCCATCACAATCACCAAGTCAACACACAGAGGACCCCAGTTAGAATGCACAGCACCATCTGTTGTCCATTATAAGTGGTTGGCATATACAACTCTATGACGGATTGACTATTCGTATAATGTGGACACTCGGTATTCAGTGTGATAATCGATCTGATGAAGCTGTCTATCAGCAGATCCAGTTCACACATAGATAGACAAGTGCAGGAAGACGAAATAGAAAAGATGAATTATGCAAAATTGTTATTTATTATTAATTAGCTTTGAAAGTAGGTTAAAAAGACATTTTAGATTACAGAAACTGAAAAGACATATTTAAAGTGAAATTAGAAATGTTCATAATAAGTTGTATGTGTGTAGCGGACAAAAGATAAGTGCTCCATCGACAGGATGTTAACGACTGATTCAACCACTTCCTGAAACCGTAGATGGACAAGAGCAATCTCTATAAGGGTTCTGAAAAATTAAAAACACACACACGGATATCATTAAAGTGAGAAAAGTATCATTTTATAATTCAAGTAAAACAAGAGTAAAAGAAAAAGAGAAAGTAGGATAAATTTCCACAAACCTATATCAAATATGCAGAAATTCCTCCAGAACATCAAGTCAGATACGAACACCACGATAACAAAACACTTCCAGAAATAAAGATACAGCAAAGACATCAGTAAGAGAAACAATTCCAAAGAAGCTGTCAGATTTCTCACAGCCTCTCACACCAATGTGGAACAAATAAAACCGTCTATGCTTCTTGCTTGTGCTCCTGTATTACACACCGACTGTCTTCCTTTCACATGAATCGGATATCAACCTGAATCCACAGAATTCATATACTCACATTTTAAATTCCATGTGAACAACCTATGTGTTATCCATGATGCTCACACACACACACACATTTCGATTCACATGTTCCTCCTTACGTCACTAGTCTGCTCCACACACGAGCTCTCTGGTACTACTCATTTGTCTTCAGACCAGATGGGCAAATAAAAGGTGGAAAAGATTCAGTTCCTCTCACCTATATCTATGCAATCAAACGGTAGATGTTTTCAATCCCTGAAAATAAGAAACACAAATCGTCACCTGTTAACTAACATAGGCTATTCACAGTATTCTTCATAAAAGTTTGACATGCAGAATTCACCACACAAAATCTTGATGACGATAGATATCAGAATGTTAGACTCACCATAGATCTTCTCTACTGTGTGGAAGTCCACATCTGGATGAAAAAAAGGATACGTGCGAATTGGTGAGAAAATATGCAGGACGTGGCGTTTGAGTGGAGACGAAAACGATAACTAAACATACATCACAATCATGTCTGACAGTATGCAGAATGAGTGATGCAGCACTGGTGTCTGCTCACACAGAGTGGTTGGTGCATTTAAATTCCAGTGTCCACTCTACTGACTTCCACAAATCGCCTACATTCCAATCTACTGACAGTTCAGGTGATCCGTTGATGGCAAAGTGGGTATCGCTTACACGAAATGATTCAGACAAGCACAGTATGCATCAGCTCAGAAAGTGATGAAATCTTTGTGGAATCGCTATGCACACTTCGAAATTCGTTGTCACACTTGATAAGGAGATTGACACAGTGAGGTGGTCACAAGGATATGACGCCCGCGAGAACTACACAACAAGGGCGGAGAGTGACATTCATATCAGAAGTGGCCGTGAATATAGAGATGGTTGCTACCCGTGGCTCTCACTCAATGAGTGGGTGAGGAATTCGACAAATGTGGAATGGTGAAGACTGAATATCCGAAATCTATCGCAATGTTATTCCGATGCTGCAAATGAGCACACGGAAGGAGACGTGTTGACATTCGTGTCGAGAATATGTGAAAATCAGTGACAGGAACTCACTCAGTCTCTGTCTACACTTTCGTGGACATGTTGACTACTGTCGGCTGTGCAATAAGAGAACTGAATGAAACAGGTATCTCATGCTGTGTATTATTTCGGCAGGCTTAAATGTCCTTCACACAAGCCATTCATTCATATAGCCCCATGGATTGGAGCCTAATACACTTTGGATGGAGTATGAAATGTGACACGAAGCGGTCCTACATAGGAGGAATGTAATTTAAGCAGTGTCAATCAGTATTTGAAAGGTCTTACCTGTTATTGTTTCTTCTTTAACTTCTTCTGTTGTTGTTGTTGTTGTGGGTGGGGGTGTGGTGACTGGCAGATCTGTCAGAAGAGAAGAGAAGTAGAACAGACGTCTCATCAGTTGTCACACCACTGACGTACGTGATAAACTTCAAATATGAGCTTCGAAGGTCATCAAGATAATCTGACTGGACGTCAGTGAATAAGAAAGACAGGGGTGTTTGTTGTCTCACGTCAAGTCAACGAATCTATTCACGTACTCACAAAACTCACCTAGTGTTGTTGCTTCTTCATAAATACTGTTCATCTCTGAAATGAAAGAGATTGAAAATAAACGGTATCACGAATAGCACCAGAGGAGTCAGAATATGATTTCCACAGTGACTTCCAGATTTATCACAGACTATCACACCAATGTGGAACACACAAAACCGTCTATGCTTCTTGCTTGTGCTCCTGTATTACACACCGACTGTCTTCCTTTCACATGATTCGGATATCAACCTGAATCCACAGAATTCATATACTCACATTTTAAATTCCATGTGAACAACCTATGTGTTATCCATGATGCTCACACACACACACACACATTTCGATTCACATGTTCCTCCTTACGTCACTAGTCTGCCCCATATACGAGCATATCACTGTCTCTTCACACATATTATCCAAATAATTATCATAGATCATATTTCACTGAAAGCATTCAGCATCTCCGCTCTTTGGTACCACTCATTTGTCTTCAGACTAGAGGGGTAAGTAAAAAGTGTAAAAGACTTAGTCCTTCTCACCTATAGGAAAGCATTTGCTGGGATAGGTGTTTTTGATCCCTGAAAGTAAGCAAAAAATCAATTGTCACCTGTTAACTAACATAGGCTATTCACAGTATTCTTCATAAAAGTTTGACATGCAGAATTCACCACACAAAATCTTGATGACGATAGATATCAGAATGCTGGACTCACCATACATCGCCTCTACCTTGTCGAAGTCCACTATTGGATGAAAACAAGGACACGTGTGAAATGGTGAGAAAATATGCAGGACGTGGCGTTTCAGTAGAGACGAAACGGAAAATTAGGCAACCATTACAACTATGTCCGACAATATGCAGGATGAGCGATGCGACGCTCGTCTCTGCTCACACCTGAGTGGTTGGTGCATTTGCATCACAATACACACTGTGCTTACTAGGTTATTTGTGTGTAAATTTTCACGTTTTGTTTTTATCTTTGCTGCGATATCCTACATACATAATTAGTTTTGTTGCATTTTGTTATCAGCTCTATTTTTGTGAATTTCTCCAATATAAAATTTTTTGTGTGCTATTTTGCTTTCCATTGCCACCCTGAACCTTCACCACTGTGATTGAACATTTGACTCGGTTAAATGTGAACACGATTTCGAATTCTCAAGGACCGTAGATCTACACACTGTCTAACAGACAAGTTATCTGGCTGAGGACAGACGACTACGGACAACACATCAGTCGTCGTCATGAATGTCGACACGAATCTGCTTAGTAAGGAAGCTTCACAGTTTCTCTTTTATTTCACATTACACCAGATGGATGAGGATAGGAGTAAAATCACTTAGGTTCAACAGTGTTGTTTGTCCACTCAAGAATATCATCTTCACCTATTTTCAGTGTACGATTTTCATGTCCAGGAATTCATGATATTAGACGATTTCAATTGCATTACACACCCTCTTCTACACAATTTCACAGGTTATCCCTATAAAATATCACAGTATTCAAATTAGTGATAAACAAATTGGCTAACTCGACGAACTTTGTAATCGGTCTCCCATCCTCTTTAATTGTGTTTTCATCTATGAGTTCCTCAGTGTCTCCAGTGACTGCTGCTGACGTCATAATCGATCAACCAACCAATTTCATAGAATAAATCAGAAACACTTCTGTGTGTCTCATCTCGAATTACGCAGCTCAACGTGAAACTTATGTAAACAATCAGTTCAACTTTGACATCATTGTTATGTGTAAAGAGACGAAGAGATTTAAAATGTGGTATGCCAATGGGATGGACAGAACTGCTATAAAATATGTCGAATCCCACTTGTATCAATAACCTCAACAATAATAATAATCACATCAAATTGTACTTACCTGCTTCGCCTGGCTTGGTGAATATTGTGAACGCTTGAATAATAATGATGAATAACAGTGGTCCATATACGATATTCTTCGCCATCTTCATAACAGTATTTGCATCATGTATTAGAAACGTGTATTTATATGCTACTTTGACCAATCAGAGGATTTCAGATGAAATCTGCCAATCAGAAAACACGTGGGTCGCTGATAAGAAAAATCTATTATCACTGACCTTGGCAGATTTCAATGGTTATAGAAAATACATCAGTATGACGTGTGTTCTCCCATAAAGAGAAATCATATCTCAACACTCACAGGCCAGTCTTTGTCTTCTGATTTTTACGTGGGTCATTAAAGTAGCTGGTACTAGGAACAAATAGGTTTATCTAGCATATCAGTTTAATTGTTCACGGTATCAGAATTATTATACCCACACATCAGTCGACTCGCACATATCAAATGTCGACCTAATCATAATAATTAGCAACAGGTCTAAAAGAACTACGAGACGAGTTCATTTCAACAAGGCGTCAATCTGTAAACTGGTGTAGGAAGGCTAAACGTTGTTTGATTGGTGGATTTCTGTATGCTAATCAGCCAGTTATCCATCCATTTATCCATCCACACATCTAAACAAATGCAAGTTCATAGATAATCCAGACATTTTCTTGATTGGCGGAATCAGGTAAAACATCCTGATGATTCATTCATTCAGTCAGTCAATATGTCTAGGAATCGACTTCAGAAAGTAAAGGAAACTTACAGAACACTCCAGTAAACCAATTCCACAGAAGTTGTCCTTAAATGAAATTCAAATGAAGAGTGAACACCAATTAAGTAGTCGGCAGATATTTTTCGATAAGTTTGTTTGTAGGTATTTGGTTTGTTTTATATTTGATCACAGATTGACATCAATTAGAGGAGCACTGAAAGCCATCAGGGAGTACTGGACAGCTATTTCTTCCTAGTTCGGGACTCATAGGCAGTTCGGATGTTGTCTGACGTGAAACTGTCTTCATTCCAGCTAATTAACACTTGAAAATTAATCTGGGTTTCTAGTGAGAAGTTGTGACAAGGCGGATCCACCAGATCGGTCGGAACTGCGGACAAATACTCACCAAGCATGATATTGGCTGACATTGGTGCAATAAATAGTGAGTCGATAGAGGTTGCAACTGATGGATTATTGGATCCTGTCTCAGTAGCTGAGTCATTTAGAAACTCGCCTATTAACCTGAAGGTCGTGTATTCGATCCCTCCATGAGTAAAGTGTGTTCACTGCTGAGACGTCTCAAACTAAGCATGAAACATCCGTCCATTAATCCTTGGCTTTCAGCTGTCCTCAAAAATAATGTCACTGCAGTGACTAATCTTAAGGTCAGTCAAATTCCTGCAGGCCAACACCTGAAAAGTATGAAACTTACTTGAATGTTCTGTCTCTCCTTGTTGGTAGGTTGCTGAGAAAATAGAAATTAGGTGAGAAGAAAAGGGGGGAAATAACTGTCAGTTCGTGAATGAATCATTTTTTAGAAAAAACTATGACCGAGGGAGAGAGAGAGACACGAAGATACAGAATCGAGTTCCATACATTCAGATATTGACATCGAGTGAAATAGCAGGAAACATTCAAAGCCGATCATAAAGACCACATTTCAGCATTTCAGTCTGACAGGTATCAAGAATTCAGTGTCGTACCTTGTTTCAACGCCAAATGGAATTACTGAGTGACTCCAGAAAGGTGATATCTACCCAATACTTCGTGTTACAAATTGTCACAACATTACTTGAAAGTATTCGAAGCAGTAGGAACTATCAAATCAGCTGATACACGTGTGTACACAGATGGATATCCATCAACAGTAGGTCGGTCAGAGTAGAAATATGACAATTTATTCAATTGCCTTTAACCACTTCCTTCAGAAATCATCTCACGTAAACTTTCTTCACATATTTCTTCATAATATTTTCGAATCAAAATCACGACTGTTTTCTACGATTTTGGCGTTCAACACAAATCTCAAGTTTGATTTATAAGTCCTATTTCATCAGGTTCTATGAATACACGTTACCGGAACTCTGGTCGATACAATGCTGTCAAGAATCGATTGTGGTGGTGGATTACGTTTCCTTAGATTGTGATGCATGATGTAGTGATGTACACTGTTCATTCAGTACACTGGTTTTAGGTTATTCAGGGCAACAGAGAGGAAAGTGTAGACTTGAATTTCGAGTTTAATGACTCTTGTCGGATAACGCAGTGTATACCTTCAGTCTCGAAGTAATTGACATCTCCTCAGAGACGTGAGGCTGTTTCATCTGTTGCTGTGGTCAGAAAGGTTAATAGTGAGTTGTTCGTGCTGACGGTTGATTCTAATAGTAACGAGTATCATGGTGGTAGTCCTCAGCTTTGTTTAGGACTGAATTCTAACAGTCAATTCTGCATTGTGCTCACACAGATAGATGACAGACCATCGTAGTTCACAGCGAGTAAAATCAGGAAACTTCATGGAATTCAGGTTGACGAAAAGAGATAAAATATTAAGTTTTCTATGATTATTTGAGAATACCTTGAGTGGACATCTCTCACATACTCATTGACTAAACAAACAAGATCTCGAAATTGCTAATTGTGCAATTCAGTCTTAAATCTGTTCAGATTTTCAGATTATCACAATATATTTTTGACCTGTCTACAAGTGCATTTCCCTCTTCACAGAACTACACTACTTACATGTCATAAGTAGTTTGTTGGTTTATTTCCAAATATTATTGATTGAGTAAATGAAATCTTTCAAGGTAGTTGTGGCAACTGATCAAAGTGATCTGAAGATTAACAACTACAAGGTGGATGTTCCGTTGAGGCTGTATAATAATAATGATCATAATAATAATAGAGTCAGCTGAATTGAAATATTCGACCTCCGAGTTTAATATGTGCTCAGTCGTCTGTCAATTTCGTTTAGCCTATTTAGTCGAGACAGACAAAGTGACAATTGCTGAACTCCATTCTCAGTCATACCACCAGGGTAAATCGTGAGATATTTCTCAAAAATCAAGTGGTCGATTTGAACGTGTGATATTTGGAACATGAAATTCTCACATTTCACATTCCATCTCTCTCTCTCGCGCCCTTCATTGTGGTTACTATTGTCATCGCGCGTTGGTTGACTTGAGGAATTTTCTACTCTCATTTTCTTTGTTGACTGCACGTATTTCTCGTCTGATTTATTCTGTTATGTGAATGGACTCATATTCATTCTAAGTAAGCACATTTGAGTATACTATTTTTCATTTTATAATAGGATGGTGTGTAGCGACTGTCACTTGGTTGATGTTGACTGATATCTTGGATGCACGTTTCATCCCTCTGTGGGTCTCGTTAGATGAGTTTACCTGCATTTTTCTTCATTACCTGATGGTGCTCTCACCACGACTGGAGCCCAGGACACTCAGGTTTCAAGCACTCTACTGTCAACTAATGAACAAACCAAATGACATAGTGTTAAACTTGAGGATTTCTGAAGCCTCGAAACTTTTAGTTGAAGGTGAATAGAGACTGGAATATGTAGTGTAGAATGGGCTTGAAAGAGAGTTTGGATGTCAGTGTGGCAAGGCGTTAGATCGCTAGTCAAAACTAATGAAGTCACACATTGTCAGAGTCTTGTTCAACTAAAAGCACTGACTATAGGTCAACGACATTTAACTCTGGCTGTAATCTAACTAATAAACTTTCAATGAAATCAATTCTTTGGATATCGTAGATCGTAATTTTCATAAGTGAGGAATACAGTGATGTGTTAACACATTCCACATGCTTTGTTTCAGCATAAAACTGCACACCATTCACTTCGTGATGTCTACAATATCAAGTTAGTCATTCCAGCTCTCTTACTTGGGATGTACTGCCACTTCACAGACAGACAGACAGACAGACAGACAAAGGGACTGTGCATATTTTGCTGAGAGGATTGTGATTCCGCCTTGTAATGACTACTTTATTCAATGTGTACTTGAAGAAAGTACTTGCCGATCAGCCTAAACATGACACGTCTGACTCCCTCTTCGTGTATTTTATTGTAGACTATTCCACTCAGTTTTTACTTATTCTCAATTTTACTCACGAGGAATGAGAATATGTTGACTATTTCAATTTCTTGTTCTCATGTAATAATAATAAAAGACTGTCTGATGTGCAGTGGTCCAACAGTATTGAGTGATGGATCAACTGGGGAATCCACTGCTGATCCATGTTTCTCTTCGTATATTCAACAATTAATTTATTAAGTCCTAGACATTCAATGTGCATCGAAGTATTACCTCTTTGCCACAATTTCTGGGTTTACCATCATTTAGATCATTTGTGTGCAGAGAATGCAGTCTGTGATTACTCCTACTCTTTCTCACGCCTACCCTCGTTTACGTTTACGTCACGCACACACACACACACATGCACACTTAGGAAGATTAGAATTTGTTGCTAATTTCATGATCATATTTTGTGGTGGCCAGCTTATCTCATGTGCCATTGGTGGATTTAACGATTCGCTTGAACATAACATGTCGGACTGTTTGCCTGTTTTGTTTTTTTGTTTATTTGTTTGTTATGTGTATTTTTGAATAATTCACAAATTTTCCGCTAATTTCGAATTTTGCTTGAGTTCAAGTTGGCTAGTTATTTTAACTTCTTACGAACACCATATTCAGTGAAGAGACTCTTATCAACAACGAATTTATCATCAGGCTGTACCATCGAATATATATGGTTTTTATATTCAGACGTTATATCCGGTGAGGGAACTGAATCATAGGTGTGAATGCGTAAAATAATAATAGTATGAAATATAGTTGAAATATTTATGATTATAAACTTCGTTAAATGTCAAGTGGTAAAAATCAAATTAATGCCAAATATAGAATAATTCATGAGATGTGCAGATGTTTGAAAAGGGTGTACTATTATGGGATTAGTAGGCTAATATAAAACCTTATATAACATGGTGTGAAATTTGATATGATAGAATTTAACATAGCACAAAACTTCTTGATTTAGAATGACAGTTGGGACAAGTGGGCACCGATCAAAATGAGGATAGTAATTTTATTAATAATAATGATAATCGCCATCGTAGTAATGAGGTCAAGGTGCATACACAACGAAGAAAACGCAGTAAGTTAGCA